CTGGTCCAAGTATAGGTTTTGCATAAGCACAATCAAGTGTTCTGGGATATCCGTTCTTCTCAGAGTCAGCCACAGTTTGCTATGATTCACAGTCAAATGCCTTTGCATAATCAATGAAACACAGATAGACATTCCTCTGGTACTCCCTGCTTTCAGCCAAGATCCATCTAACATCAGCTACAATATCCCTAGTACTACAACCCCCTTCTAAGCCCAGCCTGCACTTCTGCCAGTTCTCTGTTGATGTACTATTCCAGTCATTTTTGAATACTCTTCAGCAGAAACTTGCTTGCATGTGATATCAATGATATTGTCCGATAATTTCCACAGTTTGTTGGAACTGTGTTTCACCTTTCTTTGGAATGGGAACAAATACAGATCTCTTCAGTCAGTTGGCCAAGTGGTTGTCCTCCAGATTTCTTGACACATATTGGTGAACACATTTAGGGCAGCATCTGTTAGTTGAAATACATTAATTGGTATACTATCAATTACTGGGGCCTTATTTTTTGCCAATTTCTTCAAAGCAGCTTGAAATTCTTCCTTCATCCCCATAGGCTCTTGCTTATATGTTGCTTCATGAAATTCTTCTGTCTGCCAATTCCTTTATGTACAGTGACTCTGTATACTCTTTCCATCTTCTTTTAATAATTCCTGGATCATTTACTATTCTGCCCAAAACATCCTTAAGTATAGCAACTCGAGCTTTGAATTTGTTCTTCAGTTCCTTGAGCTTAAGAAATGCTGAGCACATTCAGCCCTTTTGATTTTCTGACCCAGCTCCTTGAACATTTCATTTTAATATTTTATTTTGTCTTTCTGTGCTGCCTTTTGAAATCTTCTGTTCAGTTCTTTAATAGTTTGAATTCACCCCTCTGCCTTGGCTTCTTGGTGCTCTAGTGCAATATTCAGAGTATCTTCTGACATCCATTTTGGCCTTTTCTTCCTCCTCTGTCTTTGTAATGACCATTTGCACTCTTCCTGGATGATACTCTTGATATCCTCCCACATTCATCTGGTTTTCGCTCATTGGTATTCAAGGCCTCAAACCTGTTCCTGGGTTAGACTCACATTTTTAAAAACTACTCAAATGCTCCTGTGAGAGATAATATTGTTTTTAGAGATAATATTTTGATATATTATCCTCTATATTTGCTTGGACTCCCTAAACCTGGAGTTTACTCATCTCTACTCCCCATTCAAAGGAGTCTTGGTGCCATAATGTGTATTGTGTTGGACTGTTAAAGAAGGCAGTTTCCTCGTGTAAAGATTCACAACCTCAGAAATTTGGTGGAGGATCACTATGTGTTGGAATCCACTGCAGTGGGCTTTTGGTTCCCATTTAGACAATCAACCAAATATTTGTCGAGAAATATGATTCTGCAGTATTCCCAGTATGACTGTCCTGTTTGTTTATGCTTGGCAACAATTCTAATTATCAATTACACCTTGTTTGATTGTTCAGTGGTCATGATATATTGAGTGTCACTACTCTGTCTGAGAGCTAGATAATAAATAAGAATGACAGAAGAAGAATTGACGCCTTTGAGCTGCGGTGTTGGAGAAGAGCACTGAACATCTCATGAATGCCTAGGAGAACAAACAGATATGTCTTGGAGTGGGTGCAGCCAGAGCGCTCTTTGGAGGCAAGGATGATGAGGCTTTGCCTCACATACTTTGGGCATGTTGCTAGGAGGGGCTGTTCCTTGAAGAAGGACATGATGCTGGGGAGGGGGAGGGTTGGTGAAGGAGGGATTGACACAGTGTCTGCTGCAATGGGCTCTTGTGTGTCAGGAAGTGTGAAGATGGCACAGGATGGAACAGGGTTCAGGCACCTTACAACAACAAACAACAACTCTGGCTGGATGACATAACCATCTTATTGGCCTGTTTTTAAGTGCTTGATCCTGGATATAAGGAGAAAAGGAAGAGGATTAGAGTGTGGACAAAGTGTCCTAAACCCCAAAATGAATAAAGAAACACTTAACTGAGGCTAGTGAGGAGAATGCACCTAGCCTAGGGAGATGAGGTGGGTAGAACAAAGGTTGTTGAAACAAAGGACAATTTCTGGTCATACAATCTGAAAGGCAGGCAGATCCTAGAGAGAGACTAGTCACACATTATCTCTTGGTTGTTTTTTTTTTTGTTGTTGTTATGTGTCATTGAGTCACTTGAGACTCATAGTGACCCTATGTACTACATACAGCCTCAAATCGTGCTTTTTACTGAGCCAACCTTATTATCTCTGACACACCTACTCCCATTACCCCAGTCACTGAGCCAATCCATCTTATCAAGGGTCTTCCTCTCTTGTGCTGTTCCTCTACTCTTCCAAGCACGATGTCCCTCTCCAAAGACTGATCCCTCCTTGCAACATGCCCACGTTATGTCAGATGGTGCTTCAAATTCCTTGCCTCTAAGGAGCAGCCTGTGAAGCTGAACACTGTGACACTGACGTGTCAAATGAGTTAATGGTTACCCCTGGCAGACAGTGTTTGGTGGCGCTCCCCGATTTAAACAATCTTGGAAGCAGGAGTGGCATCCACTTCTGTAATAGCTTGCCTCCGGAAACCCCATGAACCTGGAGAAAGGGTGAAGGTCACACAAGTGTTGAGGACTTTCGTTCATAGGGTCGCTATGAGTCACCTACGACTCGATGGCTCTTTAACAACAACAAGGAGCAGCCTGGTCTCACCCTCTCCAGGATGAACCGGTTTGTTCTCTTAGCAGTCTGTGGTATATCCAACACTCTCTTCCAGCACCACAGCTCAAAGGCATCAATCCTCCGTCTGCCATCCCTAGTCATTATCTGGCTCTCTGATGCATAGCAAGTAATTGCAAAGACTATGACCTGGATCAGATGAACCTTCATCTCTAAACTGACATTATTGCTCCTCAGTACTCTGGAAATGTCACTAAGAGCGAATTTTCCCTATGTAATTCATCTTTTGATTTTCTAGCTGCTGGCACTAAAAGTGTTGATTGTGGAGTCAAGCAAACTGAAGCTGTTAAGAATCTCAATCTATCATGAAGCTGCCAATTGGTCCAGTGATGAGAATCTTAATTTTCTTGATGTTGAGTTTCAATCCATATTGAAGGCTGCAGTCCTTGACCTTCTGCAATGATACCTCAGTTCCTCCTCAGTTTCAGCAAACAAGGTTGTATCATCTGCATAATGCAGGTTGTTGATTCTTCAATCCTGATACCACATTCTTCCTCATAGAGCCCAGACTCCTAGCTATCTGTTCTGCATATAGATTGAAAAGGTATGGAGATAGGACACATCCCTGGCATACACCCTTCCCAATTTTGAACCATGCAGTGTTTCCTTACTCTGTTCTGACGACTGCCTCCTGGTCCAAGTATAGGTTTCACATAAGTACAATCAAGTGCTCTGAGATTCCCATTCTTCTCAGAGTTAGCCACAGTTTGTTGTGAGCCACATAGTCAAATGCCTTTGCATAGTCAATGAAACCTAGTACTATCTGCTTTAAGCTAAGATCTATCTAACATTAGCTATAATATCCCTAGAACCACAGCCTCTTTAATCTCAGCCTCTACATCCAGCAGTTCGGTGGATGTGCTGTTCAGTCTTTTTTTGGATCATTTTCAGCAGGATCTTGCTTGCATGTGATATTACTTGATAATTTCCACACGCTGTCAGGTCACGTTTTTTTAGTACCCCTGTGGTACCCCTAGGGAGCTCTGATGGCCTAGTGGCAAAGGGCTGTGCTGCAATTATGAAGGCACACAGTATGAATCCAACAGCTGCTTCACGGGAGAAGGATGGACAATCTCCTCCCATGCAACTAACTACCTCTGAAAACCCCCTGGAGGGTCAGCTATGGGTCAGTTCTGACTTGACAGTACACAACAAAAACAACATGGTATTTCTGTAATCTAATAGACTTCTATCCCTCCAGTTTGATACAACCATCACCATTAAATTAGACCCAAGAAATGATAGCAAGAGGGTGGTGGTGAGTGTTTGTCAGCTGAGAAGACTTTACAAACCAATGATTATTAATCAGACCTCCTTCCCATAGTCATTACCAAACACCTTGATGACCATGTCAGTTTAAGAACTATTATGCTCACCTGTCTGAGAAACGATCATGTTAAAGAACTTTTAAAAGAATGAAAATTAAGTTTCCCATTAGCCCAATAGGAGGATAACCTGAAAATAAAGTTAATTTATTAACTGGAAAATAAAGTTTTGTTGTCTGGAAAATAAAGTTATATTCTGAAAGTACCTGAATGTTTAGCCATGATTCACACATGTGTCTGTGTTTGAATGTAGGATTGATTGATTAAATGGGTAGTAGAGAAAGGTAAAGCCCAGATGCAGGGAGGCCAGAGAACTATGTTTCGTCTCTGGTGGCCTCGTAGTAAGGAGTGCACTGCCAGCTCAAAAATGCAGTGCGAATTCACCAGCTTCTGCATGACAGAAAATGAGCAATCTACTCCCATGAGATTTATTGCCTAAGAAAACCCTCTGGAAGGTGGGTTCCAACATGATGGTACACAACAACAACATCATTGGATTTATAACTTACTTTTTCCCACAAAGAAAATTCAGATGATAAGAAATAACAAGTGGGAAGGAATTTGAGGAGCATTTATAAGAGTTCTCCTTTAAGGGATATATGCGTTCTTAGTATGCTCAATCGTATCATGAGTAGCAATATAGGGGGAAAATATAGAATTAAAGAGTTAAGTATAAAAATGGAAGATATTTTAAGGATTGAAGATTTGCCTCAAATGATAAAGTGGCCAGTGCAGGATGAACTATTGACTTGTAGCCCCGCTGATTTTTCTGCTCCTTTCTGTTTCTCTGGCTTCTCAAGCCATTGCCTCCTCCACCCACATCTTACCCTATTCTGAGTATGAAATTAAAAAGCCTTGTCATTCTTGTCTACAAGAATGTTTACACTTTATTTAGAATTCTAATTCAGTACATTATTTATATCTCCCCAACCCCCCATCAGGAAAATGAGACTCTATTTTGGAATATTTTCAAAAAACTTTGAAAGATGTAGAAACTCATTCTTGAATATCCCTGGACATAATTCAGAGGCTGATTGAGGGAACAGCTGGATCTCTGGCCTTAGAGGCTTGTTCTGGTTTGAAAACGAGCATGAACACCTAGGAAAATTTGCTTCAGGGAGAGGAAGGATTTCACCTTCGTTTAGTGGAGGGAGTCGATAAACATATCCAATTTGTTTCCAGTGGGAATGAGAGTGTCTTTTACCTGGACCTCTTTCTTTTGAATGCTTAGGTGACACGTCCGGGTGATGATGATATTGGGGACCAGGACCATGGAGTGGTGGGTCACAAGGTCCAAGGTCATGGAAATCTGGACCATAAGGATGATGTCCATGAGGATGATGTTCATGGGAATGTTGCCCATGAGGATGTTCATGGGAATGTTCCCCATGAGGATGATGTCCATGAAGATGGTGTCCATGGGGATGGTGTCCATGGGAATGTTCCCCATGAGGATG